CGGTCTCGTCCTTCAGCTCGTGCTGAGAGCTGTAGTGTCGGCGGGGGAAGGTCCCGTAAGGCACCACGCAGTCGGGCTGGTAGGGGCTTCTCTGGGAGTAGTAAGAGTGGTCGACCGGGTGGGGGTTGTCGATCTGGCTGATGAGGTAGGGCTTGTGGTCCAAGTGGTGACCCATGGAGTCAAAAGAGGGGTCACAGGTCACCACGTGGTGGTGGCTGCGGCTGCTGGATAAGCCTTTCATCACTGAGATGGAATCATCCAGTGAGGGTCGGAGGCATCCACGCACAGTACGGCTCCAAAGTGACCTGACGGTCTGCAGAGAATACATAGAAAGACATAAATGACTGTGAGCATTCTGTGCGAATGTTTTCATGTTTTTTGCTCTGTGGGTCAATAATAGGATACTATACCCTGATCTCTGAATTAAATTCCGAATTAAAATTCCATTAATAATATTAAAATGTGGTGTGACTTCCCCAAAACATAATAATATTTATTAATTAAATCAAGTAAAAGTTAAGTTTTTAAAATCATATGAAATCAACATGAATGTAAGGTGTACATGTTTTTAAAGATTTGTTATTTTATTTATCTTAGACACTCTTAGTATTCATTAAAGGGATAGTTCACCCAAAAATGAAAATTCTGTTGGTAATTACTCACCCTCATGTCGTTCCAAACCTGTAAGACCTGCTTTCATCTTCAGAACACAAATTAAGATATTTTTTATGAAATCCGAGAGCTCTCTGACCCTCCAGCAACAGATCTACCACGTTCAAGGCCCAGCAAGGTAGTAAGGACATTGTTAAAACAGTCCATGTGACATCAGTGGTTCAACCTTAATTTTATGAAGATACGAGAATACTGTCCTTAGTACCTTTCTGGGCCTTGAACGTGTTAGTTGTTTTGCTGTCTGGAGGATCAGAATGCTCTCTGATTTAATCAAAAATATCTTAATTTGTGTTCCGAAGATAAACTAAAGTCTTACAGGTTTGGAGCGACATGAGGGTGAATTTTCAGTTTTGGGTGAACTATCCCTTTAACCCCTTCACCAGCAACAAACAGTTCAATAAAAGGTCTTGTTCTTTGCAAAGTGGAACCACAACCACTTTGCACAAAACAATATATACTCAAACCTAACCACGCAGAGCTGATCTGATTAAATACCCTGTTAGTTCAATGAACATCTGTGTTTGACATTACCTAGCAACAGTCAGGCTTTCAAAATGTCTGACAGTACTTGAAAGGATTATTCAAGGCTGAGAAGTATTTTCTGTTCTTCTCAGAGGGAGGGGAAGAAAGCTAAGATTCAGATGATAGATTGACGATGTAAAAAGGAAAGTAGTATTGAGAATCACAATTAAGTATTCAAGAGGTACTAGGTCCTTTGGTGTGCTCGGAGTTAACTTATGAGTTTTTTTAAACTTTTTTTTTTATTTCAATGTTGCCAAAGATTTCAAAGTTTTGAATTTCAATTTAAATTCATACACAGGCACACATGCATACATACAAATTAAACCAGAGCAGTTCAAGCGCTTTTAAAAGACTTTTTTGACACAGACCCAACGTGTTAACTAATGAGTAAATCAATTGACTAGTCAAGTAGTATGTACAACCCCTAGCACACTACTTTCATTTCATCACCAATCCCAACTACTTTCAGCCGCTCTCTGTCAGAGTCATTAAGATCTGTGCAAGTTGAGCCTGATGGGACACAAGGCAGCACTACGTCTACTAGGGCACTATTTCAACATGAAGCCTGATCATTACTCCTAGAACCTCTGATTTGAGAAAATCTCAGTTTCCTTTTTATACCGATGTCTTTTCAGATGTTGTCAGAGCCCAGGCTTTCATCAAGGCTCTTCTTGGAAAGCTCACACTCAGTAATTGCTTGAACTAAGTTCACAAAAATCAAGACTGATTGTCCTATTTATCAGTCAGGCTATATATATAGTTTAGTCATGAAACTCTAGATGGTGCAGGCTGACGGTTTTTAACGTAACTGATGATATTCAGAGAGTTAAACGACTTGTCACAAGCTGATTGGCTCATGCTGCATATGCAGCCAATGAGCTTACTGCCTTGCATTTATATGGCTGGCTAGCATTCACATGAGATTCCTGCAGCGTGCTTTCAGAGTTTCTCTGAAACTCAACAGCTAGATAAGTAAACAGTCTTCACTCTGATTTCAGTGCATTATTGCGTTCGTCAGATTTACATTTTTAAACTAGAAAACATACAAGTTGTAAAACTACGCGCAGGTTATTCGCGTGAGGAGTAATTATTAAGCATGTCTTGTAGCATTAGCAGCAGCAGCAAGCAGTTTCCTAGTTCATGTATGTGAGAATACAACGTCAAGCATCGCAGATTTTAGAGCAGTAAAGTGAATTGGGGATTACCTTATTTGCCCGAAATCTCCAATGCTTTTAATATCTTCTGTGGGCATTAATTTCTACATTAACCGTGAACGGATCGCTTTCAGATGCACACCTCACTAGTGGGGTCGGTTTGCAGTTGGCGTTTCACAGTTGTTCACAGTTTTAAGTCAAGGTGAACCTGTATAACTGTCTTTCATAAATGTCATACTGTCAACAGCCTTACCTATTTAACCAAAACAACTTAATGAGCAACAGAAAATAATATACCCACTCATACGTGTACTCGTGCCGCATTGCAATGAACTTTAGGAGAGGGAGCGCTCATTCTTAAAGGGGCCACATCTCTATTTCACTCGTTACCTTGGTTCAGTGATAGTGAAGAGTATATTATGAAAGTCATGTTTAGTGATAGTTTAAAGATATTTAATCATGAATTTGTTTAAAATATCAAGATACTACTAATAATAAATAATTTCCAATCAGTAGCCCATGTACAATGTAGCTAATTGTAGGACTTAAATGTTAAACTGAAATGTACTATTTGTGTATTCAGTTGGGCTTACAGCAATTATAGTACTTTCATGGAGTGTAGCAGCAGTATCATAGAATTCAGATTGCATTATTAGCGAATTGTTAATAGCAGTATGCATAGCAAATCAAGTTAAATTTTACTGTTGTTTATATCAGCGGCAGCAGAAAGTATCTGGTTGCATGAAATTTCAGTGATGACACATGGGATAAGTAACTCTTTAAAATTGAAATAGGCTTTTATTACTTTGTTTATTTAACAGGGCGTACAGAGATTTTGTGAACTCTTCAAAGCGTAATAGGCATTATTTGTTGCGATTCATTGTTTAATAAAGACGCTATTCAGATTGCAATTTTTAGCGAATTTAATAACAGCAGAATGGCATAGCAAATTCAGATGTGATGTTAGAAATAATATTGGCAGCAGTCTGCATAGCAACCAATTATTATTGCTAATGTAGCAGGGGCAGCAGAAAGTACTTTAGTTGCATGAAATTTCAGTGATAATGCATGGATGGGCTACAGCAATTCTAGTACTTTCATGGAGTGTAGCAGCAGTATCCATAGAATTTCAGATTGCGTTATTAGCGAATTATTAATAGCAGTATGCATAGCAAATCAAATTATGCGTTTAGTTGCGGCAGCAATAGGTAGACCATAGTTTACATTTACATTTATTCATTTTGCAGATGCTTTTATCCAAAGCGACTTACAATTGCTGAAGTTTCAGTGACTAAAAATAGATGGTATATGGACTCTTCAAGCGAATAGGCATCATTTGCGTTTCGTTTATTTAAAAGGGGCGTATAGCAATTCTAAGTACCTTTGTGCAGCTGTAGCAGCAGTATGCATAGTTATTCAGATCGCATATAGCGAATTTAAATGCAGCAGCATGCATAGCAAATTCATATGCAATGTTAGAAATAATATTAGCAGCAGGAAGTCAAGTTATTGATGCTAATATAGCAGCGACAGCAGAAAGTACTTTAGTTGCTTGAAATTTCTGTGATAACACATGGGGTAAGTAACTCTTTAAAGTGAAATAGGCATTTTATTTCTTTGCTTATTTAACAGGGCTTACAGTAGAAATTGGCATTATTTGATTACATTTGCTTGTTAATAAAGATGCTTATAGAAATTCTAAGTACTTTTGTGCAGCTGTAGCAGCAGTATGCATAGCAAAATTCAGACACAATATTAGAAATATTAGTTACTTTGCTATTCAATTCAACAGGGTTTATAGAACTCTTCAAAGTGAAATAAGCATTAATTGGTTGTGTTTGGTTATTTAATAAAGGGGCAGTAGCAATTCTGAGTACTTTTGTGCAGCAGTATGCATAGCTATTCAGATCGCAATTGTTGTGTTCTCACACAAGTGTTGTTTGATAATGCATTGAGTTAGTGTTCAGTGATGCATCGAGTTTGATAGTGCTGAAAGCATTCTGTCATGTCTGACCAATGTATGTGTTCGTTTACTGGGGTCTGGAACAGAGAGGTTAAGTAAAAAGATACGATAAGTTGATGTTACTCGCTGTGTCGGTGTGATCCTTATCAAACGCAACAATTGGACGAGGATGGCTGGTATCGCACTACCACCTCCTGCTCCTTTCCTTGCTCTACCCGGCGAGCCTCCGATTCACTGGACTCGCTGGTTACAGTCTTTTGAGACTTTCATCTTGGCAGTGGGGCTGACTGACATTAGCGCAGCCCGCAAAAAAGTGCTGTTACTGCATTGCCAGCGTGTGCTGGGAGCGCTTGAGTCGGGCACCACAAGCGATTATGACACAGCCGTGGAACTACTGACCGCACACTTTGCAGCCCCACAGAGTGCTCTCTTGCGACCATTTTCTGTTCCGCCAAAGACACCAGCTGCCCGGTGAGTCTGTGCAACAGTACGTAGCCAACTTGCTGGGATTGGCCAGCACATGCAAGTTTGGTGCGTTGCAGGACGAAATGATTCGTGACCAGCTAATTGAACATACCAACGATGCAAAAGTGCGTGAAACTCTGCTGTTAGAACTGAATGATTTATCACTGTCCCGGGCAATCACGATTGCATTATGAATAGAGAGTGCAGCTGCATGTGCGTTGGCTCTGACCAAACAGCAAACAATCGCGGACTGCTCGGCCCCCTCCCCCATGCCACTATCAACGTTACAACCCAGCCAGAATGACACATTGGCGGCAGCAGACTCCTCTGCAGTTATGCTACTGAGGCGCCAGCAGAGGTCTCGGCCACGCCCACTAGCTTCAAGACCCTGTGATAACTGTGGATCTTCATCTCATCTGTCTAGAGCACAGAACTGCCCAGCCCGTGGCCAAACATGCCACAACTGTGGTAAACGCAATCATTTTGCTTCAGTCTGCCGTAGGGATGTAACGATTAACCGCAAGTCGGTTGAAAATCGATTCAAATATGTGACGATTCAAACCGGTTGAGATGCTAAACAAATCGCGATTCATTTAGGTGTAGGAGTTTATATGACTGTATGTCTGAGGGGAAGTTACTGTCTTTAGAAAA